TTTGTATCACCTCTACACTATCATGTGCATGCTTGTTATACTATATTTTCATCACTTAAAAATTACACAAGACTGAGAGCATATCTGAGTGCTGTGTTTTCATGGTTTTCTTAGTATTTTTCTACCTAGATAGAGATAATTCTATTTTGATTTAAGGTAGTTTACAAATAGTCTAGAGACTAATTAATTCTGTTCACCTGAAAATACTTATCTTGTTGCCACATCAAACTTGTTAGTCTAACAATGAAATAATATTGAAAACTTAGTGTCTGTAAAAGGGAAGAAGGATATGACAGTCAGAATGTGAAGTTCATTCTGATATGTTGCCCGAAAATACTAAACCATAAACTTAACCATGGTAAAGATCCTATTTTTACTAATGTTAACTGCACAATAACAATGTACACCTAATAGTAATAATATTACTCACAACTGAAGAAATACAGTATGTCTATTTAAAGAGTTAGCATTGGTAACACTATTACTAGTTTGACAAGCTGTTTAGAAAGAATAGGTTAAAACATATGACTTTTTGAAGCATGCCTAGCATTAACTTTTTTCCACTGTCCCCTTGAGAATTCTTTGAAAGAAAGAACCACTTCATGGAGACTTGAAAACATTGCTGCCAAGAACAAATGTTTCCTGCTCTTCAGTTCTTGACATTCTATCATCTTGATCCAGCAATTCAGTTAAGCACTAGCCCAACTCTGAGCACAATAACAGTCCTACTGACAGCCTGCTATAAACTGTTAGTGATTGGTCCTTTAGAACTGCAAGAACCCAGAAAACATAGGCTGGGTTAATTTTAAAAGGCTGTTATCAAAAACAGATGGACAGATAGCACTCATCTAGCAAACCTATTGTCCACCTCAAAAAACCACTGAGAATCTTAACGATGTTGCCCTGTAAAGTCAAAACCTGAAAATACTCCTTTAAGAAATAAGGAAGTTTTAACTGTGACTTTTTCATTATAAACTGCAAATGCTGCATCATGTCTATTAATTCAACTGGAATGCATCTAGCTTCTAAAAAGGAATGCATGATTCAGTCTGTGTAACAAATATAACTGACCTGATTTTCACCACCCTTCTGCTATTTTCCACCTTGTGTAGCTATTTGCCACCTGTCTGAGACACTGCCTTTGCACAGTTAAATCCAGAAGGTGAGTGACCATTACACAAGTCAAGACCTTGTATAAAAGACACCTGGTGTGATAAAAGAAATCTTTAAAAACTGTTAACTGATGGCAATAACTCTGCATTTTCCTATCTGTTGTATGTGTAGCAATTTTTTTTTAAATTATGATGCTCCATAATCAGGAGTTGTATATACTAACAAACAGTTTTGTGCATTCTAGCTTGAGAGGTGGTTGCTCTACAAAGATAAGATAAAATCTCCAGACCTAGCATTCCGGGAAGCAGAAGAACTGCATGACTTCCTTCTCCCGTCTGCTGATAATGCAGGTGGACTCCATTCACTTGGATTTTGGCAGATGTTATTGAAGTACTAGGGGTGGGGGAAGGGGAGAGAAATAGAAAAACATTTAGACAGTTGATTTTCATTACTACATGGTCACTTCAGAAATACAGAATAATTTTCCTAGATACTAATGACAACACTTGCCTTCATGGCTGCACACAAGGTTAAATAAAAAGCTTTACAGAAGCAGAGAAGTATTCAGTTGTGACCACTATGTAGTATTCATACTTAGGTTTCACAAATGTACCTAAATGACTAAGTTAAAGAGTAGTCTTGATGGTGTAACAAGGAGAATAAAAAAGTAGCTTTACGTGGCTACAGGAACATATTGAAATAAATACATTACAGAGGAGAAACCTCATTCTGTCACAGCATATCTTTCGAAATGGCTGGTGTTCACCTTGTTATTACTAAACTGAGCCTCTGTCTGCCAAAGAAACCACAATCTATTGTTACGGTTTCCCATGAACCACAGGGTCTACAATGGAAACCACTTTGCACTGAGATGAGAGCAGAGAAAAAGAATGTGATAATAATATTTCTGTCAGTGTAATCTCAGCAGGAGATAATGTTTAACTGGAAAATACCACATAAATCCACACACTAAAAAATTATCACAGAAAACGACTGCATAGGGCACCTCTCATCCCCAACCCTTAAACCCCTACATTAACCTTCAGTACAGAGGAAGACATATGTGTAAATGCAAATAGGTGACCTGAGATACCATATCTAGATACAAACACCTAGTGAGAAAGCAGAAGTAGCATAGATTGAAAGTATCTTCCTAACAGTATAAATCATTGCATCTGTTCTCCCAAGCAAACTTGTACCCTAATGGTTGCAAGAAATCTTTTCAACAACCTAACACATTTTATTTAAAGGTAGTAATATGATAAAAATCTTGCCATGAGTTACCTAACGATTAGCCCTCATTCTCTGCACTTCTCAAATTACTTAGACTAAATATTCTTGCTTTATGAATTCATCAGTGTGAATTTCACATGCATACAGACATGCTGTTTTCCATTCTTAGATGTAACAATAATCTCTGTGTCATGATAGGCACTGTGCAATTTATTAAAAATTCAATTTTAACATATAAAGTCTGAACTACTTAGAGTATGTAAGCATACTTCCATCCATATAGCGTTTAAAATGGTGGATTACAGGTAAAAAATCCCACTAATTTAACCCCTTTTCATAAGGAAAATTAACAATAGCTTGCAAACTCAGGTTCACAATACACAAGTGGTAGTTAAACCACAGAACCAGTTCAACACAAAGATATTTGGATTTTACATAAAATCTTAGGTCTACATAACCTATCATGCCTCATGCCTGAATATAAGCAGTCACTGCGCAGAATAGAATCAGGACCTTCCACCTGTGCAGACCCAATTTGAGAACTGGAGTACAAATGCAGATCTGTGGCAAGAGTACAGCTCAAAGAAATTCATCGTGTCATTATAACTTCAGTGAGTTTTGCTGAACTGTTATGCTAATGTGATCCAAGTGATTAGTTTGACTGTAATGTTAAACTTCCTTTAAGTGTGTATTTCATACCCAATGTGGCTTATATACTTCCCAACTTGAATTCTGAATGTAGTATTCAGATGGCTGCCTTATTCTCCTTTTTTAATAACTTTCACTTTTTCTCCTTATAAAAGAATGTTTTAATTCTTGATACACCATCTTTTGGTTTGTCATTATTTTCAACAGGTATTTTATCATAGTTCTCACCACAGCAAATGAGCATCTTGCTCTTATTAAATTTTACAGAAATATGTGATTTTTTGTTCTGATTAATAGTTGCCAAACCTCTTTCAGTTCCTAACAAAACAGTAACAATCACCATCTTGTTACCTTTCAAACAAAAAGGTTAGCAACATGTAGTATCAACAGACAGTTATATGTCCTGCTTTCCTGATTCACATGCTTACTTTTTTTTTTTAACAAAGTTCTACATTTTTTACGATTAATTATTAACATCAGGGGCTTGAGAATTTTGCTGAGTTTGTGATGCTTTTCTATTCTTGAATTGTGCCTCAGTGTGAAGTCCAATGAAATCCAGGAGTTTCACATAGAGAGTATTTTCAATACTTTTCAGACTAAGAACAAATAAGTTGTTTTTTTAAATGCATTGAAAAACTGTGTTGGAACTGGCTACATCTAAGGCAGATTTGGTCTCCTCAACACCATGTTTCTGTGAGCCTGATATCACTTCGGTGTGCTTGTCAGTGTGATGACTTCACTTCTGTTAAGTTTTCATAAGGACTGTATTTTTCCATTGGTTGGTATAACTGGAAACCATGGTAAAACAAAACAAAACCCACCCCGCTATTTGGTATCTGAATTAGTAATGTTAAGGTTTATAGCTCTTGAGAAGCATTGGATACATACTGCCTATGTTTACCAAGACAGCACAGATGCCCAGTAAGCAGATCTTGTACTTCACCTCATACTGCTGTAGGAGTGCAGCTTAATTTGGGAACTACCTCTGTTGCAGCTGTGCTACAATACAGCCTAGTCTTTATCTGTGCAGGGGGAAAACATTATTGTAGCATGTCAGTTTTCCTTGGTAGGATTTGCAGAAAAACCAGTATTTTATATACATATATATTAGACATATGTATTGTCTTTGCAACCTCGGCGCCCTGCAGGGAGCCTCTTGTCAGCAGCAGGTGGGCAGAGGAGCAGTGGGTCAGCAGCACGTCCTGCCTTGCGGGGACCGGCAGAAGGGAGGGTGACAGGCACTGCCTGAGGAGAAGGGACTGCGGAGCCTTCCTTGTACAGCTCCTTGCAGCACAGGGAAAGCTGGAGCAGGATCCTAAGAATACCACTTTGTCACCCCCAACCCGACCTAGTGTACACCCCCTCTGCCAACAGACCTTGTTCATCCCGCACCGCCGACCCCCTCCTCCCGCCCCCGTCTGTCAAATATCCCCTTCCCCGAGGCGCGGGAAGGGAGGAGGGAGCTGGGGAAGTGGGGAAGGAGGTGGCTGTGGTTTTTACCCGTAGCAGGCGGCCGGTCCCCGGGGCGTGAGCGGCGCTGCCCGGGCCGGCGGCTGCCGCTGCAGCAGCACCCAGAGGGCCCGACCCACGCTCCGACAAAACATTTCGCCCAGCGAGGCCGGCCTGGAGGGCAGGGGAGGAGACGGGAAGAGCCGTCCCACCTCCCCTCCCCGGGGCGGGATGCGGTGCCACCCCAACCTGTCACCTATGCTTGTGCAGCGAGAGGCGGCGGCCGCTGCCCGCGCTCTGATTGGTGACCGCCGCTGTCACTCAGGGGAGGGCGGGTAAGGTTTGGCGCCTGGGCTGCGGCGCCCGCCCCCCAGCGGCGCTGATTGGTCGCCCGGGGGTGGGAGCTGGGGGAAGGATGGCGTCGGTCCCTCCGCCCGCAGCATTTTCCTCATGCGCAGAGTGATCCCTGATCCCGCCCTCGAACGCCAGAAGGGATAGTGCTGCCGCCCAGCGCTGCTCCGGTTGCTGGGCTGCTGTGCTGTGACGGGGAGCGGGCGCTGTGAGCGCCTCCATCCTCTCCAAGAGGCGGAGACCCACGAGACACGGCACCACCTGCAGATGTCTGCAGGGAGCAAAGGTTCTAGCCCTGGGAGATATATTGTGGGACCTGAAGCCGTGGACTGCGCCTCCAGCACTGCCCGGGATGCAAGAAGCTTCATGGACTGTGAGAACGGTGGTCATCCGTGGCTCCAAGTCTGCCTGGAAAACAGCTTCCCCGGCAGCTGGGACAGTGAGGGCAGCTCTGGGGACTGCAGCTCACCTGTGGTGATGCCTTCAGCATCCCAGCGCCCAGGCATTTCCTCGGCAGGAATCATTAACTCTGCTTCACCAGTGTTATTTGTAAGGCCTGCTTGTGGGGAGCATACTCATCTCCTGGCCAAGGGCTTTGGCCCGGCAAGTGCCTGTACTGATCAGGGCCAGCCACCTCTGGAGCAGCCTGACTGCGTTTTTTCACCACAGCACTTAGTCTTGCTTTCCTCTGGACCTTCTCACAGTTTGCTTATAGAACACCAAGGACACCGACTGCTTTCCCTGGTGTCTGCTTTCCAAGTGTGGATGAAAATGGACCAGCCTGAGTTACAGCCAGTCAGGCTGATGGTGGAGAAAGTAGTCAGGAAAATAGCAGAAAGCTGTAGAGCTGAAACAGACCTTGGGCTAGAGGTCTTCTGCCTTATACTGGATGAGAAGAATTTCCTCAAGACAGGTCAGTGTTACATGTTCACTGCAGCCCAGTGGAAGCTCAGTGACTGCTCTGAGAGGGAATAGTTGTCAGCCTTCCCACCCCACTGCCATATGTGTGCATGGGAGTAACAAGTCTTAGAGGTAAATGACAGTCATAACAAATCCCAGTGCATAAAGAGATTAACTCAGCTGTGTAAGCATACTGGTTCTGTTTATCCTCTGAGCAGATCAAACTATATAACATTAAGGTCTTTAGGATGGCTAAGTACAAGCAATCCTTCATCAGGACAAGCTGCCTTTGCTTGGTGAAATCTACCAGTCCCTACAGTTTACTTGGTTCTTAGGCCACTTTCAGAGGCTCATGGTTGTTGTGAGTGTCACTGTCTACATTTCTTTCTGGTGAAAAATGACTGGAGGAGGTGGCTGACTATTCTGTGTTTAGGAAAAAATTAGTAGCTTGGTCTACTGCTGCACAAACTTAATTTTTTTTCTGAATTCTGCATTTTCCACGAATCACAAGGGGCTCCTATCTCATGTATCACAATGAGCTTTCAGAGGGAAAGGTCTCAAACTTGTATCCAATTTCATTCCTGTTAAAATACCTTTCAATCTAATATTTCTACATATCCCCTACCTACTATGACTGAAGGAAATGCGACAAATTTTCAGAATGTGTGCTGAGGCATTGGGTAGAAAGGGTTCATTATACAATGTAGGGGCGGGGGAAGAAGTAATTAGTAAGGTAAAACCAGAAGCCCTTCCCAGATGAGAGAAAAGGGAGTTGAGGAGATTCATGTACCACTTAAGGTTGAAGTGGTTTCAGATGGGTTGACTCCACTATCAGCGTGACAGAAGTTGAGAGGTCCCTCTGTAGAAAAAGCTGTCACGGTGTTGCACCTTGTGTTGTCTCTAGGCCTGAAGCACATGAGGCCTGTAAAGTGGCCATTCCTTTCCCAAATGCCTGGACCACGCAACCCCTCCCAAAGGCACTGTCCTGCCGCCTTTGGGCTGCGGAGAGAAAACTGGCATGGCAGTTGGGCAGAAATGGCATTGGCGAAAGACCCTATGCTGTGTGTGTGTATAATGACTGCCATCGTGAGGGGTGGCTCAAGGAGAGAGTGGCTGTCTGGGCCCACAGGGCAATGGAAGCAGGACTCTGCAAAGGCAGGATGCAGGAGGTGGATGATCTGGGGACAAACTGAGTGCTAACTCACATATTCAAACTGTGTTCAACCTACTCAGTTCACCAGAACATCCAGTCTTCTTAATAAAGCAGATTTGCACATAATGATGAGCACCTGAGAGAATTCAGTATTTCAGCTCAATTATTTCCTCCAAAAGGTTCTTCTCTTAAATTACTGGATGAGTGGGGAGAAAAAACTTTGAGCAAGCCAGACATTGGCTTACTTTTACACAGCCCATGAAATAGTTGAGAACAACTGGAGCACTAGTTCTCCTGTCCACTCCCATAACATGTTTTTATTTGTCTGATTACTACTGATGGTTCGGGTTCTGGAAAGTACCTGTATCTGGCCATTGCATGGAAAAGAAAAAAAAATATTTAAAAGAGGTAGCACTGCTCTGCTAGTGATGTGTCCCTGAACACAGATTTCCCTTTACCTCTTAACTGCCATGAAATTTTTTTGGCAACCTTGGTGTTGCCCCATCTCTCCACTGTGGTCATCTCTACAGGCAGAAACTTGCATTTAATGGCAGCTTCTGACTGCTGCTGGCAGAATTTCTAATATCCACACAATGCTCTGGAGGGCGTCACTGCTGTGCTTTCAAAGAAAGCCTGACTCATTTGTCAGGGCCGCTGAGGCACTAATAGGCTTTAATGGCCATGACCAGCCTCAGCTGGGGTGTCCCCCACACCCTGGCTCCTGTGCCCAGGAGTCTCATTTCAGCTCAGCACGGTGGCATCAGTTTGTGCTTCAACTTCGTTACAGCTATGTCTGTGACTGGTTGGGATCCCCAATGATCCAGGTGTTGTTGTAGACTTTGTTTCTTTGAGTCTGTGTATACTCTGACTGATCATTTATACCTCATTTATTTCAGCTACTTCTATGAAGTGAAATATGCTGCTATTTCAAGCCTGTTTTGATGCTTGGGCTCTTGAGCCTCTTGGATGTTGATTGTTAGAGCAATGTTTTCACCTTAGGACAAAACCTTGTTGCTTCAGCTCCATAAAGAGGTAAGATTTGCGTAGTGATGAATTGCAAAATTCAGAACAAAGATATGAAAATACCAGTGTTTCTGTGATTTGGTATTGGCCTTCCAAACAAGAAAGACTGAGTGAATGTGGCACGACTTTTGAAGCTGCGAAGTGTAGAGAGTAGCAGCATGTGTTTTTCTAGCAGGAGGCCTATTTAGCTACAATATTAGCCAAATTGAGACCAATTGGACTTATATCACAAAGAAAAGGATGCTTTTTCATAAGCATAACAGCTAGTAGAAAAAGATCCCAGATATCTTGCCTCAAAGAACATTTTAGGCTAATTAAGAAACTAAAACACAGACACATATTTAATGATTTTCTTTACGTTTGCCTACATTTTTCTTTAGCTAGCAAAGGATAGTTTTTTGTCAGCTCAAACAGTGTCTGCATACCTTTCATATGTTTGTGAATAACTGCATTATAAATCACAAGTGCAAGCGTGTCACTGTGAGATGGTCTTGTCATTTCAAACTTGAATATGGTCTACATTTTCTAAATCCAGGCAGAGTCTTGGCATAATTTCTGCTCAGATTCAGGGCATTCTAGATTCAGAGATATGAAATTACTCCAAATACTCTGGTACAAAACCAGAAACAGCTTCTCCCTTGGACAAGGCAAGAGTAACATTTGGAAGATGGTTCTTGGTTTGGTTTTGGAAGGAGTTGTACGAACTCGGTGACCCAGACATCCTTTCCAGTGCTGCATTTAGTTCTCTCAACTAATGAGGGGGGGAACACAGGAGTTGAAACCTATCATTCAAAATCCAAGCAGTATTACTGGTTTGTTAAGGTGATTAGCGTGGATTTTGGTTTCAAACAGCTCTCATCAAGCATTTCTCTGAGCCTTGTAAGCTCTAATGCTTATTATCTGATCATATCTTAGTTCTGGTACAGACACTAACTTCTGCCAAAGAGATGAGGAAACTGTGCTAAAGAGAAAGGAAGTGACCTACTTAGAGTTACAGCAGAGGGGCAAACCCAGCTTAAGTCAGAACTCCTTTGTTTTGCTCATAGGCAATACTTCCTCCAGCACAAAGATAGACTCTGCACCCTAGACCCTGTACTGATCCTAACTTGCCCCTTCTCTTCTCCCCAGGGGCTGTATTAAGGAGCTCCACTTTCACTAGGTGCTGTTTTGTGCTGGGGAACAAATGAGCACCAGTCAGCTGACTCCTGATACTCATTGGTATGCCAGGAGGGAAACTGGCATGCTGCAAGGAGCACTTTCTTTAGTCTGTAGAGTCTGGGATGAGGAAGGGATAGAAAAAAGTGCCATGAGGGCACTAGGATCCAGCGAAGAAAGCCTTCCAAGTGCTAGTTAGCTCTAATATGTCCCTGCTTGTACTGGATGATCCTTCCTATTTTGTTTCCCTATAGCTCCATCTCACTGGGTACATAGCAGGGCATGTTTTAGAGGCTCAGAGATTCTTACTTTATTTTCCATGTGCCTCCATGCTGAAAGATGGTTTTCGTTTGTTATTGAACAGTGATGAAAAATCAGGGAGAAGTGACACAGTTTGCTAAAAGCTCAATCAGTCAGAGACCGAGTTCTTGTGTATCGCCTCTCCTTGGAAACTGGCCTCTGAGGAAGAGGAGCTGTATGTTGCCACCTCAGTTTGAAGTTCACATACCAAATACTTGCACCACTGTCCTCTCTGAGTTTTTAACTCAGCATTATTAATTGGTATTATTTAGCAACTATTTTGAAAGGAGTAAAAATTCCTCAAACTTCTTAGCTGCCTGTACACTGTTAATGAGGGCACAGTAACAAAATCAACCAAATAAATTGCTCCGAATTGCATGGACTCAATCCTCTCTGCATTTAAGAATTTCAGCACAGATTGGCTGCTGTGTAATGATAACTGTAGTTACCAGCTAGAGGTTGTACTTGAGTGGTATTTGATCTGAAGTCTGAAAGCACTTGCTCTCTTAAAATGGAAAAACATAATGTCCTTGTGCATAAGTGGATGAGTTCACCTCTTGTTCTTCAAGGGGAGACCCTGAAGAGGAGGTTTGATGCTGCAACTCGCAGCCTTTTTCTCCGTCTTGCACCTCACTCATCTTATGAAGAATCTCTGTAAGGCTGCTGCATTACTGCTGCCTCTGCCCTTGAGGCTGATAGTTTGCCAGTTTTATGTGAAATTACTCTTCTGTCCTTCCTCTCCTTTCTTCTGCCACGAAGGGTATTGGATCTGTGCCATAATACATCTCTCTCTTTCTTCCTTGCCCCCATTATTTTCCTGCATTTTTGATCTCTCATGATAGGTTGCTTTTCAAAAATCAACTCCATCCTTGATTTTTTTTTTTTTTATCAGAGGGGGTGGGGCACGGGTGGTAGATGAAATGAGCAACCCAGTAAGTTAATATTAGCTGATCTCTCTCTGCTATACTTAAAATTTCTGTACATTTTTAGGTCAGGGGAGAGCACTAACTCTTTTCTTTGGACTTCTTGTACACTTTTTACTTTCACATTTCACCTAGTTAACGTTGTATTGAGACCTATACCTTTGATTTCAACTATATCCATCTTAAGAAACAAGAGCAGTCTTAATTAAAAGATACCAAGAGGATCCACAGAATCCCTTGGTAGTTTATTCCAGTAGTTAATCATCTTTATTATTAAATACATATTCTAATTTGGCATGCCTGGCTGCAGCTTCCAGGCATTGGGACCTCTTTTATTTGTGGTTTTCCACGTTATGCTAAAGGGTTTGTCGTACTTTAGATGTTCTGCCCAGGAAGCTGAACCTTCTCTGTGATTGAGTTCTGTAAGGGCTGTACTGAAGGAGTTTGTCTCTAGCTCTCAGTTTAGTGGTTGTTTTCTATACCATCTACAATGTCACCTGAACTATGAGCACTAGTCTAGAATTGGATTTGACAAAACATCAAAGCTAAAATGATCTTCATCTCCCATGTCCTACTTTTAAGATCTAGGACTGCCCTATGCCTAAGTCTTGTTCTGAAACGCTTCTTGTTTTTGTTCTACATCTTTGTTGTTGTTTCAGAAAATAAGGTCTGGGCTTGCTTTAATAAAGAGAAAATGAAGCACTTAATGTATGCCCGTTCAATGATTACCATTCTCTGTAACAAATAAGACAAGGATCTTATGGTGGAAAAATTGCATGTTGTATAATAAAGACTACAGATATGGGAGACTTTAAAAAGCCATTGGGGGCTAGGGAATTGATGTAACAATACAGTGCAACCAATGTTAACAGGACATAAATGGACTTTCTGATCTTTCTGGAATCTGTTTCATGAAGTAACATAGTAGCTGCTAGCTGTAACTCTGTGGACTGACATAGAGAAGACACCCCTTAGTCCATTTCTCTATCTACTTTAAGAAGAGTAACTGTTTTTCTTCTGGAAAGTGTATGCTCATTATATTAGACAAGTAAAACATTTCATTCTCTATTATACTCAAGAATTTATATAAAATTTAGCATGTTGCTAAGTGAAAACAGTAAGGCAATGCAATTAATTCTGAGGAATTAAAAATATAAGTATTACTATAGTCCATACTGATATATCCCAAGCTACCCTCCATGGAAAGGAGAGTTTAATGTGCATTAACAATAAATATAGAAATGCTCTAGTATCTGAATGGATGACATGCTCTTTGTTTAGGTTTCTGCTAAAGTCTCCATTTTGGGGAGCCATTTACACTATTGCCTTGTAGATTTAAAGATGACAAATATGTTGATGCTTGCTTTGATTATTTCATTTTGATTCCACTAAAATGGTGGCTGCTGTATCAAGGAGCAGAAATCCGTTCTAACTATACTTTCAGTACATTATTAGCCTTTTTTGACAATAACAATGAACATTTATGAACCCTAATGAACCTTAGTGCTTAAATCTACAGCATAAACAATTACCTGCTCTGAAACATCTGTTGGAAATACTTGTAGATTTGATGGAAATAGGAGGTATCATTCTTCCTCGGAAAGGTTTCGTGTAATTATTCTTCAGGCATAAAACCTTACAGCTCAGTAATTCTTTCAGAGATCTTGCACAATGAGATCATGTCAATACCGGGAAGTCAGAGTGACAAGGAACATCTCCAGGCACTGGGATACCATCACTTACACTACAGAGTTTTTCCAGTGTTCCCCAAAAGAACCTGAGCGCTGTGAAAAAGCCTTTGCACAAAATTTTGGAGGTTTAAAGAATTTGCTATCCTGGCAGCAGGCTGCAGCATCAGCATGCCAGCTTACCCTCAGCACCCAGAAACGTTCCCAGGCACATTTAATCCATTAACATAAATGCAGTCCAAGAAATTAAAAAACTAGTGACATTCTAGTCACTATGAGCCCCAAGAGCGAGTAGGAGAATGGGTCTTCTGTCAAGAGGTAATAAGGCACCTTTCTCTTCCCAAATTTGTTGTACTGAATACAGATTGAATTTATTTTTTCACTGTTTCATAAAGCAGATAAGAAACTTGACATGTAAAATCTTTTCTACCAAACAATGTAAAAAAGTAATGCAATATTAATCTGTAAAATATCAAGTATAGCCTTCTTAAGCCAGGAATAGTTTTTGCTTTTATTTATGCTGCTGTTCTCCATAATTCTAGACACATGTATTTAATAAAAATTATAAAAATATTTGAAAAATAATGTTATTGACTTAAAGCAATTGGCACTTCTGGCAAAATTTAACAGTTGATTTAATTCTCTGTACAAGTTTTTCAAGAAGTAGGTCAGTCTTTTGCATATTATTACTCATATATTGCTTTGTTGAAATGACATGCTTTTGTTCTGAATTGAACAAGGGTCCCAAAATGTTTCAAGACAGAATGTAGAATCCAGAAATTTTGTGTAACACATTCTCCTTGAATCAATATTTATATTGCATTGTTGTTGTTATCTCTGGACAATCATTCTGTTCAGAAGGAAGATGCTTAATTTATTTTATCCTTTGAAAGGCCAAATATCATGACATAAACTTTTTGATTTACTGAACGTATTCATTGAA